AGAAATAAGATAAAAATGCTAACCACTTCTATTGAAACATCAATATTAGAGTAGCTAAGAAAAAAATGTTAACAATGTTGTCTTTTATTATCAGATATGCTTATATTTACAGAAAAACCAAAATAATCTACAAGTATTCAAATAAACATGGTTGTTGCATCAACCTACAATACTGATTGTCTATGCAACAGCAATAAATATATTAAATCTATGCTTTAAAAATATTTTAACAATGACTCTTGAAAAAGTTGTTAGTTTGGAGAAAACAGATAACACTTTGGTTTTTCCCAAACAGGTATTAGAAGTAGTATAGTATCAGTCAAATGCCTATACTTTTGTGATGAACATTTATTAGAGGGTTGTAGTTTTATATGGAACTATTAAGAATAACAGTCACTGATGAAATCAAGCAATATAGACTATTTTCAACAACAATAACAAAAAAGAACAAGTCAGAAAACTGCAAGAAATTCAAGATGGGTTCAGAAGAGGGCTTGGAACAAGCAGAAAGCAGCAAAAAGTTTACTTGTGTTTCACTGACTATGCAAAGGTATTTGTATGATTCATAATAAATTATAGCTAATATTTTTAAGAATGGAAATTCCAGAACACTTAATTGTAAACACTGTGAAGTTAGACTAAGAAGCATCTATTTCAACAGAACAAGGAAACACTACATGATTTAAAGTCTGGTCAAAGGTAGTATTCTTTCTCCATACCTATCCAATCTGTGTGCTGAACACATCATTCAAGAAGCTCAACTCTATGAAGAATGTGGAAGGAAAAGTCATCTGCAACCTACATGATGCACCTTGCTTATAGAAAGTTAAAAAGACTTGGAGCATTTACTGAAGATGATCAAAGACTGTTGTGGGGTCAAGGGTCTATTGTCTAAAATGGCTTCTCTATCAATTAACTTGTTTTGCCACATATATAGGCAAGAATATGCAAATAAGGTGTTAGCCTTTTCACAAGGGTATTGTCTCTTTTCACCTTTAAATTGAGCAACAGAATGAGAAAATCTCACCACTATCAAAGCAGAATAGGCATGCAGCGGGCATTCTTCAGGACCACAGATTATTGACTTGCACAATCTAGACTTACAGCAGCAATGTCAGACAGCCTTGCTGCTACAGTGGCCAAAGGAGAAAACCAGAGACCTGACATGAGTAGACCTTGGGAATGCTATACTATGCTGTTGAACTACAGCTAAGAGCCTTTTGCCCAAGTATGTTGAAGGTCTGATGAGGGGAGAGTCAATATTGGCAGGACCAAGAACACTGGCCTAAAGGAATGAGGCTCAACGCTGAGGTGTCTACAAGCACATTTTGGAAGTCATTATAACAGTCTTTTGCAACTAATCTGAAATATAGCCTTTAGATTTCCCCAAAATGGTTGTGAGCTATCACACTGGAATTTTGACCAAATAAAGCAGGAAGATTAATGTTGGGATAAATAGAAAGAAAGCATCGGGAACATGACTAAATCGATGGCAATTGGTTTTGGGTTGTTGTTGATGGGGAGAGTTCTCCATTTTGGAGTTGGTAAAGGTCAGGTATGGCCATCCCCATGTGGCCTTTGCTCTTTTTACAACTGCAGGCTTCAATATAGATTACAGCTCAATATTAAGAAAACAAATCTCACAACTGGTTCATTAGGCAACATCAAGATCAGTGGAGAAAAGGGTGATACTGACTATGATTTTATTTTACTTAAATCCATAATCAACTTCCATGGCTATAACAGTCAAAAACTAAATGTGTTGCACTGGACAAATCTGCTGTCAAGGACATCTCCAAGGTGCCAAAGAGTGAGGGTGTCAGTTTAAAGACTAAAGTACACTTAAGACCCAAGTTATGCTATTTTCAATTGCTTCTTATGAATCAGAAAATCAGACACTGACCTCAACAAGAAAAAGGTAAACAACCAGATCGCAAAATGGGCATCAGATATGAATAAACACTTCACCAAAGACATGCTGATGGCAAATAAACATGAAATGTTAAAAATCCCTAGCTATCAGTGAGATGCAAATAAAAACAACTTTGTGCTATCATCTTATCTCAGCAACAGTAGCAAAACAATAACAAAAAAATTAATTAAAAAAATCCATCTTAGAATAGCCAGGGTGCTCCTTAGAAGCAATAATGACAAGATTCTGGACATGTTATCTATCAGTTAGAGTCAGTCTTTAGAAAAGGACATTATGCTTGGAAAAGTGGAAAGTTAGGAGACAGAGGAAGACCTTCAACAAGATGGACTTACAATCTGAAAAGATTCCCTGACCAGAGTTAAGTCACAGTGCTAGTAGAAACAAATTGATAAGATCCCTTTGGAACACTTCCTATTATAACTTGCAGATAATATATCCTTCAGCCCAGTAATTTTACACTTAGGTAATATTCCTAGAGAAACTCATATAACCATGTTCCAGCTTACAATGAGGAATGTTTACACTTTATCACTTGTAACAGCCCAACAGTAAACACAAGAATGGGTAAATGCACTATGATTTGGTCAGTTACTGAAATATTATATATTAATCAAAACAAATTATTTGTATTTGCAATGACTTTAAAAAATATTGAATAAAAAGAAACCAAAAAAATTACATTTATATGGTGAGTCCATTTATGAAAAGTTCAAAAGCAGGCAAGCTCAAATTACATTTCAAACACTGATGGTAAAACGATTCAGAAAATAAAAATAATTATCCTAAAGCTCAAGATAGTAGTGATTTCTGAAAAAGAGAGAGGGTGCTGACTATGTTCTATTTATTGATTTTTTGATGTTATAAACTTTCAATATTACTCTTTTTAAAAATGAAAACTACCTGGTTCATTTTGATCCACCTAGTGGTGCAAACGTTAATGTGCTCAGATGCTAATTATTTGTGGAAATTTGAGCGTAATACTTTAAAGTACCCAGAAAAACAATTCCTTACTATGTGTAGATTACAGTTCTACTGGAGTGATCTGATATTCTGAAAATTTGATCGAGATTAAATTGGTAGGAATCTTGGCCTAACATTTTTGTAAACTAATGAATTAATCTTTATCATATTTTTAATTATAAAGAATAGGGAGCTCTGAGGTCTAGTGGACAACGAACTGTGCTATCAATCCAAAGACACTGAATCCACTTGCTACTACACAGAAGAAAAATGGGCAATCTCCCATGCAATTTACATTCTATAAAAGCCTACTGAAGGTTCAGCTATGAGTTGGTTCCCCTCAATAATATATAACATTTTGTGGTGCCACAGGGCTTAGATATGACAATAAAGGCAAGAATAGGACGGCTAAAATCACAGATGCTGTAAAAAGATACTTCATTTAAATAGGAAAAGAATGAATGAATTAACTAGTAGGAGAGTAAGAGTTACAACTAGTCTCCTGCCTAATGTATTTAACTTCCTTTTTTTGTGAAGATGAATTATTGTTATGTGCCATAAAGTCAGACTCACAGTTGACTCTCAGCAAAGGCAGTAAATCATATGAAAAAAGACTGCGCATCTTCCTCTCTCAGAGCAACCAGTGGATTCATACCACCTGTCTTTGGGCTAACAGCACAACTCCTTACTCACCAGGCCACCAGAACTTCCTAAAGCTGAACTAAATTGGTCCAACTGTCTTAATATAGAAGTAAATCTATTAGACGAGAGAGATTAGTGAGAGGAAAAAAGAGAACAACAGTAAAATAGCTATGATTTAAGTTCATTTAAAATGGGACTCAAAATGCAAGCATACTAGTAAAAAAGACCAACAATACTAAAAGGTAATGAGGATGTGGAATAAGTACAACCTTCAAGCACAGCTGATGTGAATTCATTTAACAGTATGGAAACTGTGTAGTAGTATAGAAAGTTGAATATACACAAACATTATGACCCAGCACTCTTATTTCTGTGTATATACTCAATGGAAATGCATAATGTATTCACCTCCAAAGAAAAGAATCTAAATATGAATGAATAATATGAAATCTATTTCTTTTATATTTGAATACTATATAAGAATGAGTACATATAATTATACTCAGTGGCAAAGTGAATCTCACCATCAATGGTTAGAAATCAAAACAGTGGTTACTGTTAGAGAGGATGGGCAGTAAGCTAAAGAGGCCAAGAAGTTTTCAAGATTCTGGCTACATAAATTTCCTCAGTTTCTGAAAATTCACTGAGCTTTAGACATGGTTATTATACTTTCATGGATATATGTTAAAATTGAAACTTTCCACTTATAAAATGGATTACATATACAAAACTCTGATTAACAGTAAACCAGTGAAGCTCGGAAATAATTACAGGGTAGATTTAACAGAATGAAATATGGTGCACATTTAATAACAAAGGTGAAAATTATTAAGAAAGCACGTAAAGCCAGTAACCATTTAAAAAATCACTCCTAATGGAAACAAATAATCTGATTATGCTAATATTTCTAAAGATAAATTTTTAAGTTTCTTAATAAGCACTGGTTATAAAGACACTAAAATAAGAGCCATTCAGCACACATCTATTAATTTAAATTAAGTGTTAGTCAATGGAACTCTACTATAGACTCGAAAGCTACAAAGAGAAAGATGACATTTTTGTTCAGAAAGTGCCTCACAATCCTGAACTAGAGACAAAAAAAGTCCTACCTTTATGGGAAGAGGAGGCAGATAAGCACAGGAGCTATGGGAGCACACTCAGGTTTTCCATATCTGTTGAACTTTCTCAAACATCCCTTTCTAAAAAGAAATACTACTAAACAGGAGCATGTGCAAAGAAAGCTACTAATGGCTAATTACATAAACTCCCCCCGCCCCACCCTCTGGGCTTCTAGAAATAAAGATATAAAACATGGAAATGATAAAGCGGCTTTGAAAAGCACAAATAGAAATGTTGCTTATATCCATTATTTTGTAGCAGATGGTCTTGAATTCAACACAGACTTTACTCAGATTCCAAAAGAAAGCTAACATCATGTTTTTAGATATTATTGATAAAAATCTACCTTCTTTGCCTGTTAACTGTAGAGACTTGGATCTGATGAGAGGGAATGAAGTTCTTCTTTTCAAATTCATATCATCATAGGAAGAGAAGCACCTAAAAATTAGAAAAAAAATATTATAACAAAACCCCAAACATTAGGCACAATGAGTAAACTCCATATAATTTATTCTACAGATTAGGACAGATGGAGGCTATTGAGAATTGTACAAACCATTTATATTTGTTTGTAGATATATATGCAGGTCTCTTAGTTAACAGTTCAAGAATAGCTAATAAATATAAAAAGGCATGTAAGGGTCCTTTCTCCAATTCATCTATTAAAATACCTATTTTCTTCCTTCTCTGAATTTCACATTATAATATCTTTTTTCCCTCAGTGGTTTTAAATCTGATCTGAAAAGCAATGTATTGGACTTCTGTAAATGAACTAGTATAATTAATAAATTTTAAAAAGTGTCTACCAAACACTTTCTTTAAATGTTGTCAAAAGCCACATTTCAGGGTTTTCTTGCGCTTACTAATGTTTTCACTATTATAGCCTACTAAACCATCCAGGCATAGGACTCAATAATTATGGAGAAATAGAATTAACTCAGTATTCTTCATTTGTCCAAAACTTCTCAAGAAAATAAAAAGCAAAATAAAACAAAAACACTGTAGAATGTAATGCTGGTAGTACCTTTTAGGGCTTGGATACTGATTACTTTTAGGAAGTTTTGAAATATAATCTCCATCAAATTGAGAAGTATTCCGACAGCGCTGCATACAAAGCATCAGTCCCAAGACAACACAGAGCACCAAACATATGACAAGATAGCTTTGTCGATCTGAAACCTAAGATTGGAAACAGTTAACAATAAAAATTATGGGGGTGGAGGGGGAAAGAGAGTGAAATCTAAAAATGCAACGGAGAGACAAGCATTTTAAAGTGTAGTTCAAAATCATAAATGTAGAAGGTATACTATTAAATGCTGAAGGTGTACTATTAAAATAAGATTTTTCTTTTCTGAAATACTTCAAAATTGAAATTAGAAAATGTTTTTAAAATGGAACAATGAACATATTCTGACTTTTCACACTGTTGTTACTATATGCTGTTGAGTCGGAACCAACTCACAGCTAATCCTCTAGTAGGTTTTCAGAGGCAGTAAATGGCACAGAAGCAAAGTGCTCCTCCTTTCTCTCCTTGAGCAACTGGTGGATTCAAACTGCCATGTCTTTGGGTTGGCAGCACAGCTCCTCCATGGGGTGCAGAAAGGGGGGTGGTGTGTGGAGAAATTCTGTTCTCATTCTCAGTATTTCTTATTGTTCAAAACTGCATTACTACACACTCAGTCATTGGGTAAAAAACCCGAGAATCATCCTTAATCCCTCCCTTCATCCCCACCCACTCAATCAGCAAGATTTATCTTTAAAATACCTGTTGTCAACAATTCATTATCTTTTTCATGTCTAAAAGCCTGGTTCAAATCAACGTCACTCCATCCAAGCTACTTCAACTGCCTAATTGGCTTTCTCTCTGCTTTACTACTATGCTTTCTTAAATGGCAATTCTCCACAAAGAAGCAAGGGAATTATTTCTCAAAGTTTGTTTGGTTTCTTTGAGGGGGTTGGGGGTTTTTTATGTTTTAAATATCAATGAGGTAACACTTAATATTCTCCAATAGCAACTTGCAAAGATTAGAGTAAAATTCAACCTCTAAATTACTAACACTTTCAGGTCTCTGCCAATATACCTGATCTCTTTCACTATGTTCCAATCATACTTGCTGCTTTCTCCTCTCAAACACATCAGATAATTTCTATTCTCTAGCTCTCTGCCCTAACTCAGCTACCTTACTAGTACTCCCCAGCTTTGTATGGCTTTAACACTCAGTTCTAATGCCATCCCTCAGACCTCCTAGATTGTCCTAGCTTAAAACGCTATCAGTGACCTTTCCCCCAATTCACTTCATTCTCTGTCCCACTGTCCTTCACAGCTCTTATCTCTTTATATGTTATCTTTCTAAATGTTACTAGAAACAATTACCATCTCTATATATGTACTTTTATCCTCAATAAATGTAAATTCTGTGAAGCCAAAGGTTACTAACTGCTGTATCTATAACTCTGGACACTATCTCTAAGTTGTTGTTGATTGCCCTTGAATCAAGAACAACTCACAGCAACTCTATGAACAAAAGACCTAATGTTTGTCCATAGCTATCATCATTTCTCCAAGTTCATAGAGTTTTCAGAGGCACGTGGTTTAGGAAGTGGATGTCACTCCTGCTTCCCAACCTGTTTTACAACTGGGAACGCCACCAAACACTGTCCACAATGAGAAACCGTTATGGTATTTGATATTCCCATGGCACAAGGTTTAGCATCACAGCAAACCCAGTTACTTAATATAGCACATTGACAAAGGGTGATGTGCATAACAGCACTAGTCTCATTTAGCAGTGGTTAAGTGCTGTCGAGTTAAATATGACTCAGAGTAAGCTTTGCACAAAAGACCTGCACTGTTCTATAATAAACATCATTTCTGTACATTTATAAGAGAGTTTGTAGAGTTTCCAGAGGCATTAGCTTAGGAAGCGGATGTCACTCCTGCTTCCGAACATGGATAACTATTATGGTATTTTTAACATGACTACGGAATAGTGTTCAGCATCACAGCAACTTCAAATTGTCCACTACAGCAAATAGACAAATGACTGCTGTGTCTTTTAAAGAATATTCTTCTAAAAGCCACACCTGTGAGCAGGGCTCCACCCTTAATCCTTAGTCTAAAGCTCAAAGGCCAACCACTTTTGAGGGGGGAAAAAAATATTAACAGTAACACACAACAAAAAAGGACCCCAAAAACTTCCATTGTTTGACTGCCATCATCAAGACGAGCCACCATCGACTTCCAGCCAGCCAGCCGACTTCCAAGGTGGAGTGGGACTCTAGTCCCTAGGCCCTAGGTCAGCCCACAGACCGATCACCTACCTCATCATCGATTTTAAAACCTCACCCTCAACCCTTAGTCTAAAGTTTGAGCACAATTAATAATTCTTAATTGTTAATTAAATAACAATTGTTTTCTTTACATTGAACTGTATAGTCCATATTGAAGACTAAGCTTTAAGCTTTATCAATAAATGCCCCAAGCCTTAACATTCAACAAGTTATGTTATCTTTGTATCACAGGTTGTTAATGAGTAGTCTTCTTCCAAACCTGATGTCACATTATTCTTCATGTGGTCCAGTTTCTCGGATGATTTGTTCAATATACAGATTGAATAAATATGGGGAAAGAATATAACCCTGATACGCAACCTTTCCTAGTTTTAAACCTTAAAGTATCCCCCTTTGTTCTAATGACTGTTTCCTGGTCTCTGTACAGGTTCTATAAAAGCAAAATTAAGTATTTATGGAATCCTTATTCTCTGCAACATCATCCATTACTGTTTATCACTTTCTTACTACTGCTATGCCTCTTACACATTAGCTGCTTAATAAATACTGGTTAAGTCAATCTTTTTTGTTAAAGCAACTTAATGTGAAGCATTTCTAAAATGAAAATGGCATATTTAATGCTATTTAAACTGTGCTAGAAAAGCTTTTTATCTGTACTTTGTTAAAACCTAATGTATGAATGCCGTAAGATTATGTTATTTCCAAAACTTAAAAATGTTACATTTAGTTGTTCTGAAATTCTCTACAATAAGAATTTTGTTTGGATAAAATTCATAGATATCATGTTCTAAATAAGTCTGCCTTTAACAACTTCCATCCTTACTTCGTATTATACAATACTAGCTGTAACAATTACCTCACGCTTTAATTCTGCCACACTTGCTGATAAGTTTGAAACAAGCTGTGTCATGTTGGTCAGCTGCGCCTGTAGCAACTGGATGGCTTCAGTTTGCCGCTGATCCTATCATAAATAAAAAATTATTAATTTTCCTTATATTTCATGTGTACATTTACAACTACATCCTAAATTCAAGTAAAAGCATCTTAATTATATAATTAACTTTGTAAAACAAATTCAGGTAACCTTAAGAACCTGGGGCCAGGTCTAACCATCCTCTTCAATTATTCTGCCATTCATTGCTAACATATAGAATATTTTACAATGCAAGTTAATTACTTTTGAAACCAATATGGACTTTACATGTATAAACTAAGATATAATCACCTATGTGCAAGGCTTTAGCTAGTGAGTGTTTGTAAAGCAAAACAATAAGCACAAAGACATGTCAAGGTTTTCTAGTAGAACGTTTTTTAAATACAAAGTCATCTCAGTACTAAGAAAATCATAAAAATTCTATTTTACAGCAAACTGTAACAGAATGGAACTCAGTGTGTTGTTACACAACAAAACATCTACAACTATTCATCTAGGTAATCCTAAGCTATCATCAATGAAAACATATTTATGAAAAATTATCTAAAAGTTTTTTATTTAAAAAGCTCCAACATTCTGTTCACTGGGGAAATCCTGTGAGATTCTTCAATCAGATCAAGAACAAGACAGAATTATGTGGGAGTTTTAGCCAGAACAATTAAAACAGATTTTTTAAAAAGTATCCAAATTGTGAAGTAGTAGTAAATCTCTTTTTTGCATATGGCAAAGAATATTCCAAAGAATCCACAGAGAGCTACCAAATAAATGCATTCAGTAAAATGATTAACAAATAATGCTGGGAAACTGGATTTCCACAGTTAAAGAATAAACTAAGTTATACCTCAGGCAACAATCTGTTGAATTTTAACATACCACAATGAGGAATCAACAAAGGAAATTTAAGGAAACTATTCCATTTATAATACCTGCTAAAATAATAAACTCTATAGAAATAAATTTAACCAGGAAGATGAAAGTTTTGTACACCGAAAACTATAAAACATTATTGGAAAAAAAGCTTTAAATAGAAGGAAATTTGTGTTCATTGGTCAGAAGACTTAATATTGCTATGATGTCAATACTACTTACAACAATCTATAGATTTTATACTACCTAATGTAGTATCTATCAAAATTTCAATAGTTCTTTCAGCAGAAAGTGAAATGCCTATCCTCAAACACACATAGAACTTCAAGGGGCACCAAACACCCTGAAAACAACCCTGAAAAAGAGTTAACGGAACAGGACTCACAAGGACTCAAAACATATTACACTATGTTGTTCTTGTTGACTGCCGAAGAGTTGAGCACGACTCATAGCAAACCTATGAACAAAAGGCTTGAAGCCTTTCTAGGACTATCATCATTTATCAAAGTCCATAGAGTTTCCAGGGGCATGTTGTTTAGGAAGTGGATGCCACTCCTGCTTCTATTAAGAATGGCCTGGTATAATGATAAATGGAATAAAATTTAGTCTAATGATTTAGCCACCCAATGGGTAAAGAACAGTCTCTCTATTACCTGGTGCTGGGGACAAATTTAATTTCTGGAAAGGAAAACAAAAAAATTCACAAAGCTAACTCAAAATAAATCAAAGACATAAAAGTGAAAACTAAAAGCTGGAAAATATAAGAATAATGTTTAAAAATCTAGTTCTTAACAATGGATTCTTAAAAATGATAGCAAAAGCTATTGTGAACAAAGCTGCAAAAAACATGGGTTTGCATATATCTGCTTGAGTGGTGGTTATGGTTTCTTTGGGGTATATTCCAAGTAGTGGAACTGCTGGGCCAAATGCTATTTCTTTTTTTCTTTTTTTCCCCAAATGCTATTTCTATTCGCAACTTTTTAAGAACGCGCCATACTGCCTTCCATAATGGTTGTAGCATTTTACACTCTCATTAACAGTGAATCAAGTTTCTCCACAACCTCACCAGCATTTGTTGTTACTGTTCTGTTAAATTTTGCTATTGTGATATCATCTCATAGTTGTTTTGATTTGCATCTCGCTTAGAGCTAGGGATTGTGAACAGTTCTTCATGTGTTTGTTGGTCATCTGAATGTTTATTGAGGCTTTGTTCACAATAGCAAAGAGTTAGAAACAACCTAAGTGTCTATTAACGAATGAATAGAGAAGCTGTGGTGTATTCACACAATGGAAAACTAGGCTGCATTGAAAAACAAGGAATTTATGAAATATTATTCAAAATGGATGACCCTGGAGCACATCATGCTGAGTGAAATATCTCAGTCACAAAAGAATACTGCATATAATGTAAAACTATTGTAAAACAGGACTGATATCAGGGTTGGGAGAAGACTGAGAAAGATGGGTTCAATAATGCATACTGCATTGAAACAGGTATTATTGTCATGACATGAGTCCAGAACGAAGGCTGCATAGTGGGGTGTACCTGGGGGGAGGTATTGTATAACAATGAAAGAATTTTTCTTCTACTTTTCAAAGAGAGGAACAAAATGGAGGGGAGGGATGGGCAGGGAGAAAAGTGCAACAATGCATGAATGGAAATCTAAAATTTCTGTAAATTTTCATTTAATAATAATAATAAAAACAAAAATATCACAGCAAAAGCATGAGCAACAAAAGAGAAAACAGATAAATGGAACTTCATAAAAATTCAAAGGTTTTGTTCATCAAATGACTATCAACAAAGTAAAGAAACATCTATAATTTGAGAGGAAACTCTGGGTAACCATACATCTGATAAGGAATTAATGTTCTGAACTTAAAAAGAACTCCTACAATTTTATAAAAAGAAGATAATCAATGAAAGCACTGACAAAGAATCTGAATAGACAGTTCACCAAATAAGAAATAAAAATGACAAAAAAATTTCAGTACTGACAGACATGAGGAGAAAGGGTATGTCATGCTTTGCTGGTGATGATGTAAATCTGAGCAACTAATGCAGATGATAACAATTAAGTACATGCAAATTGTACAATCTAGGAATCCTAGTCTTCGAATAGTACTCTAAAGTTCTCACCTCATAGCAAGACAAATACAAGGATACATACACCTTTACATTATTAGTGTTAGCAGAGTTGGAAACAATGTGGATATCCACAATGAGTAAGTATTAAAAAATGTGGAAAAGAACAGAAAAGTAAAAAGAATTTAATGTCAAGTATCATTTCACAGAGAAGCCAGCTTGAAGGAACTCATTATGGTTAATTTGAGCAAGAAAAGAATGGATTTGTTACCTACACAGTAAGAATCCAGGAATTCTCACTGATAGAAGTAAAACAGAGGGGAAGAAAAAGACTTCCAAACTTTCTAACAAAATTTTTAATTAATAAATTTAGAAGGAATGAAGGGGGGGGGGGGAATCACAATTTGGCAAATACCAAGAATGGCTACTTTCGGAAAAAGCCTCCAAAGATGCTAAAATGAGTGTGTGAAAATATATTATTATTACCAGGGAACACTAACTTTGCAATATAGAAACCTAGTGGAGACTGCCTTGATTATGTGATCAATGGCATCAATGGATTCTTATATGACAGAAAATGATATCAAACGGTGTATCATATGCCTTCTGGTATATGCACTGGGAAGATGAAGCATAATTCCTAAAGTTTTCTCCCCAACAATGAATTTTAATTTACTTATAAAGAAATAATACACAAACCCAAACTGAGTGACACTGTCAAGATCATGAGACAAAATGTGAAGAACTATTCTAGTTTAAAAGTAGACATAAAAATTATAAATGCAATGAATAAGTCCAGGTTAGATCCTGGGCCAGAATAAAATAGTATCATTTCATTATCATTATCTTGATTTAGACAATTATACTATTAAAGTGCTAATATTGGGAGTGGGGTAGTATGGAAGAATGCTGGTAAAACCTATATGGGAATTCTTTGTACTTATACACTATTTTTTAAAGATTATTTTAAGATGAAGCTAAAATTTATAAATTTAAAAATACATGTAAATATAAGAAACTCTTTATAAGATAGTATTACAGGAAAAAATATACACAGTAAGGAACTTTGGTGGCTTAATCTGCAGGGAGTTTACACTGTTAACCCAGGGTTGTGCTTCTCTGGCCACTGAAATCCACCAGCAGCACAGCAGAACAAGATAGGCAATATCTTTTCCTGTGATTTACAGCCTCAGAAACCCAACACTTGAGAGTCAGCTATGAGGCAGTTCCAATTAGAGAGCAAAGAGTTTGAGTTTTCAAAGGAGAAAGTTGCTATTGAGTACCATTGAGTCAGAACTGACCCATAGCTGACCCTCCCAACAGGTTTTCAGAGGCTGTTAATCGCACAGGAGGAAACTGCCTATCCTTCTCCCACAGAGCAGCTGGTGATTTGAACCATGTGACTTTGGGATTGCTGTGCAGGACAGGACATAAGTAAATCTGTGGATGGAATAAGGAGGAAAGAGGCAGGGAACTTTGTATGGAATACTTATAATGAATCTATCATGAACTCAAAGCAAAAAGTCATTAAACTACAACTTCACTGTACTATACAATTATATAACCTTTAAGCTAAATATAAATTTCTTTATGCTGATAATATCTTTTATTGCTGTCAAATTGGAACCAACTGATAGCTAACATTCTGGCAAAGTTTTTAGAGGCTGTAAGTCGCACAAGAGGAGTCTACAGTTTGCCCATCTTTCTCCGTAGAGGCACTGGTGGATTCTAACCACCAGAGGCAACCACCTTTGGGTTAGCAGCACAACTCCCTATGGACTATGCCACTAGAAAGCCTAATGCTTCTAAAACACACCATAAAAACTCATTGGTAACATCACATTTACAAGTCTATACTGAAGCTATTTCCTTACAATTAGGACATTATCAGCAGTTTGTTCATCATTGTACTGAGAGGAAGAGGCAGGGAGAGGAAATAAAATGATGATGGTGTTGGGTGCTACTGAATGTATTCAGACTCTTAATGACCAAAACTGTCCTCATTTTCATTCAGTAAGATGATACACATTAAAAAAATAAAATAAAATAAATAAATAAATAAATAAAAGATGATACACATAGAAAATCCCCAAAGAACTTAGTCTAACAAAATTGCAGAGAAATCAACTACATTTCTCTACATATCCAAAATATGAAAAGTTATAAATACTATTTCAAATAGTATAACAGGAGTAAGACCCTAACAATGCATCTAGCACAAGATAAATAAAAGATTACTGAATAATTTTTACTGCAAATATTAATGATTTAAATTACATATAACATCTTCAAAGACATAAAGCATGGGAGTGGTCAAATTGTTTTGTATCTTTGGATGGTTTCAGTATTATCAGTTCTTCCAAAATAGACTCTTGCAATTCCAAACACCCTACCAGGTGCTCTGCAGGAGAAAGATGGGCAATATTCTTCTCCTGTGTGATTTACAGCTGCTGAAAACAAGCTGAAGGGTCAGCTATCGGTAGGTTCTGGCTCAATGGCACACACATAATCAAAGAAAATGGTAACAAAATACAGAGAAGTATTTGCCCTTATCAGTGAGGTCCTACAAAATTCAATGAAAAATTACACACAAAAAAATGGAAGACATCAAGAGAACCAACCTGCTCCTCTGCTATTCTCGATGTATTCTGAAGTTTCACTATTGTTTTATTGAATGCCTTTTGCATTTCTTCCATTTGTTTTCGGTACCTGTGGAATAAAAATTTATTCAAAACAGAGCTTTAATTTCTCAATTTTTTTTTCCATTTAGTATGTGTGATAAGAGATAAGTTTTCATTTTTTTTAAAATGGCCCTTATTGAGTCCTATGTAATGCAGAAAAAAGTTCAGAAGTCTCTTGAGTTATTTCCTACCTCAACATCACTTCTATGAATCATACTGCTTTCTGAAATTTTGGAATTTTCTGGGATTCAAGGAGAGGAGGAGGGAACAAGAGAAGATAAAAAGTAAAGCATACAAGCAAAATTTGCCAGTGCATGACATGCAGAGAGTAGGAATCAATGCCTTCAAGGATATAAAGATTATTCTAATTTTACAACTCATTAGGAGAGTCTCAAGAAAAAACTTTGTGTGTTTCAGTAATTCTAGACATTAGATTCTCTTTGTCAGCTGTTATCCAGTCAACTACAAGTTATGTTGTTGTCATGTGCAATTAAGTAGCTTGCGACTCACAGTGACCCTATGTACAAACAGCTTTATCCTGAGACTTTACTGTCTGACACACCTATTTCCATTATCCCAATCACTGAGTCAATCCATCTCCATCCAGGGTCTTCCTCTCTTGCGCCATCCCTCTCCAAGGACTACTCCCTCCTTGCAACATGTCCAAAGTCTGTCAGACGGAGCTTCAGAATCCCTGCCTCCAAAACGAACCTGCTTTTTCTCCTAGCAGTCCATGGTATATTCAATACTCTTCCCCAGCACCACAGTTCGTAGGTACCCTATAAACAACAGATCAAAACCTGAGCCATCTTCACTATCTCCACTATGCTCACTACCTGCAGTCATTTTCTCTCTGAAAAGGACAGTGTCTGCCTCTCTTTCACTAACCATCTTCTTTTCCAAAGGAGATTTGTTAGCCCACTACTAAGGAGTTGTGCTGCAAACCAGATGGCATGAGGTTCAAATCCACCAGATGCTCTGTGGGAGAAAGGTGGACAACCTCCTCCTGTGCAAAAACCCGCTGAAGAGTCAACTATTGAGTCAGCTGCAACTCGATTACAAACAACTACTAATTTTCCAAGCATGATGTCTTACACTCAAAGTATGTGTTTCCTCATCTCTGTCCCTAAGCAGCATTTTTGGTTGTACTTCCTACAAGACAATTTCATTTGTTCTTTTGCTAGTCTGTTATGGTACAGTTAATATTCTTCATCAGTACTACAATTCAAAGGAATCACTTTTTTGGCCTTCCTTTATTGCATGCAGAGAAAGCAATTGAAAATACCATTGCTTACATCAGGCACACCTAACATTCTTTTTCTTTAGCACTTCGTTGGGGCCTAGATAGCAGACATCCCCAATGCAACATTGTCTTCTGAATTCTTGCCTGCTGTTACCTTGGGCAGGGAGCTCTGGCAGCCCAGTAGCAAGAAGCTGTGCTATCCTGAAGGCACGCAGTCCGAATCCACAAGCTGCTCTGCAGGCCCTGTACAATTTTAACTGTCTTTGAAAATTCACCAGAGGGTCAGCTATGGGTCTGTTCCAACTTGATGGCACACAACTTCCACCACTCTGGGTATTGACTGTGGTTCTTGATCCTATACTACACACCCTAAAATGTTTTAGCATCAACCACTTCTTTTGGTACAGCAACTCTGTATATTCCATCAACTTGAGAAGTGCCATCTTGAAAGAACTGAAGCTCTTCTCTTCCAGTTTTCTAACTGCAGGTCATTGCATACTTCATTATAACATCATGTTTGGTTTTCTCAAGTTGCCTTTTGAAATCTCCTACCATCTCTTGTAATTCATCATTTCTTCCCTTCATTCTGGCTTCTTTCCACTGAAGAACAAGTTTCAGAGTCCTTCACTGGGTGAAAGCTTTATTCCATCCACATATGGATTGAAGCTCAACTTAAAGAAAACAAAGGTTCTCACCACTGGGCCGAATGGCAGCATCATGATAGGTGGGTGAAGAGATTGAGATTGTTAACAGCTTCAGTTTGCTTGGCTCCACAATCAACACTCTTGGTACCAGCAGCCAGGAAATTAAAAGACGACCTGCATTGGGAAAGTCTGCTGTCAGAGACCTCTCCAAAGTACTGAAGAGCAACAATGTCAGTGTGGAGAGTAAGGTATGCCTGATTCAGTCTTTGCAATTACTTGCTATGTGTCAGAGAGCTAGATAATGACTAGGGATGATAGAAGGAGAGTTGATGCCTTTGAAATGTGGTGCTGGAGAAGAGTACTGAATATACCATGGACGGCTAGGAGAACTCAAACAGGTTGTTCTAGAGAGGGTGAAACCAGGCTGCTCCTTGTAGGCAAGGATTCTGAAGCTTCGTCTGACATACTTTGGGCATGACGCAAAAAGGGGACCATTCCTTAGAGAGGGACGTCATGCTTGGGAGGGTGGAGGGACAGCGCAGGAGAGAAAGACCCTCAATGTGATGAACTGATTCAGTGACTGTGGTAATAGGGGTAGGTGTGTGAGAGACAGTAAGACTGACACAGGATAGAGCAGGGTATAATGCTGTTGAGTCACAAGTGACTCGACAGCATATTACAACCAACCACTACTTTTCAAAATACAACTTTAGTTACCTTTTGAGTGACTTCCAATGTGAGGGTCTCATCTTCCAGAAAATGTTCCACTATTATTCGTTTGGTTTTCAAGGGCCTCATGTTTTAGGTATATGATCAGGCCTGCCTCTAAGTCTGAAAGCTCCACTGAAACTTATCTCCTAAGAGTGGCCCTGCTGGTACTTCAAACACTAGTGGCATAGCTTCTAGTAGCAGAGCAACACACAGACATCACAGTATGGACAAACTGACAGAAAAGTGGTGGTTGCCTATGGTTGCTTAGGTGATTCTGGATTTTTGATAGAAAAGCTCAAAGGACCTTGAATACTTACAAGGATTAAAAAAAATAGGTTTGAAAAGAAAGAGCAGTGTATGCATGAATATACTTTTCACTGATGCGGACACAGAAACACAAATTACCAGAACTAGAAGTAGGGTTATATTACTGGAATATAAATGTCTAATAGTTCAGCTCAATTTAGTCTTTGCTAAACCAAACTTAAAAGATATCTGGTCTAGTTTTACTAAGAGGATAAGGTATAAATACTGTAATATTTCTCATGAGGCCTCTAAATATCAAAAAGTAAGAGACTAACGTTAAGCAACCCATAAAACGAGAACATGAGTAGAGATCATTTAGATTTGGTATAGCAGTGTTGAGTCAAAAAGCTATTAAGAGTCTACTTTTAAAATTTAAATAAAATCAATTGCTTAAATAATTGATTCAAATAGAGTTCTTCTTCTCTCAAGCTAAAATTCTATTACTGAATTATGAAATAACTACATTTTCTCAGCCTACAGCCATGATCATACAATAGTACTTAATTCATTACATAAAAGGCATAGTGTTAACATCTAGTAAAGCTTACCTTTGGCTAAGCTCCTCCAGATAGCGACCACTGAGAGACATGTTAACTTCTAAGGCTTTAATACGATTATTAAGTCTCATAAATACTGACTCCTTTTGATTTGATCCATGTACAAGATTTCCATTAGCATATCCTAAATCTGTAGAATTTTGCAATTCAGCATAAAAATCTGTAGCTGTCCTTTGTAACCCACTTGATCCAGGAATAGACAAAAGAGCATCTTCAGAAGTCTGGTCTTCCTCTTTTACTTCAGGTAATGAAGAATCCACAACAGGAGTAAAAATTTGCTTTGGTGTGTCAGCAATGGTCATTTTGGCTTCCCCACCTTCACTATCTGGTATAGTGGCTGTGTTTATAGATGGCACTATTGTTTCAGATAGCTTTGTGATAATTTGCATGGAGTTTATGTCTTCTTTAACAGTATTATCTACTACCTCACTAACTTTACTTGTTTCGTGTATCATAGATGGTTTCTCTATGTAACTAGAACTTTCAGACTTCTTTTCTCTTTCATTATCAACCTCAACAGAATACTCCTGGGGAATTACTTGTGAGGGTGTATGTCCTGTTTCATGTTCAACAGATTCCGTTAGTTCTGGTTTTGATAATGTATTAATTTGTGGAGTAATATCCAAAAGAAGAGACTGAGAAGGACTCTGAGGATGGCTTGGTTCAAGTTCAATTGCATCTACAGTTTGATTAATCAAATTACTTTGTTGTAAACTACTTAAGTCATCTAGAATATCAGTTTCATCTTCCCTTACTATACTCTTAATGTCCGATTCTCCACTCGGAAGGTTTAAGATTGAACCATCCACTGATTCTGGCGTAAATATTACCGGTGGTTTAGGTGACAGGTGATCATCTTTTTCTTTTCTTACAGCAGTTCTGCTGAGTTGCCGATAAAGGGCAACTCTCATTGAACACCATTTATATATGTATTCCGAAAAACTAGAAATGCAACAAATGGTAGTCAGTTCACTGCAAAATATTTGTGTTTCTGACTCAAACCAGGGTGGTGATTCATCTTCCTGTTCACCAGTGCCCAGAAGAGTCACTGTAGATGGACTTGCCTCCTCATCTTCCTCTTGAACTAACTGGACAATGGGACTATCTTTTGGTGTATCTGGTGTTGATGGCTCCATTTCATGGACATGTACTTCAGTGGTTGCAAACCTATAAATATATGTCATAGTTAAAAATCACTCTAATTAGATAGCTATACTTTAAATTTAAAGAAAATAAGTTTATAAATATGTAATAAAAAGAGGGCTAAAGTACAAAAGACACAAATTTTACTTTTCCCCTGAAAGACATTTTCAGGTAAAGTACAAATACTCAAAAATGGTAACAGAAAGAATACTTTTATTATCAAGTGACATTTGCCTCACACCATAATGAGACTTGCTTTTTGATATTCTGTTTAATAATAGTTTATATATGAATAATTCTATTCCCTGAATGTATATTTTGTCCCCCTGCCTTTTCAGTCACCCCAATCGTTACACAGCTTACCATCTCTAAGATCTCAAATTAAGTGGCTCAAGATTTTTAAGACTCAGAGCTAGAACTCCATGATTCTTAGTATGTATTTATTTATTTAATGAACTTTGTGGATAGATATCCTACAATCAAAAGGCAACAAGATTTAATTTTAGAAACTCCAACAGAATATCAAACACACACAAGTGTACAAAGCATTATTATCTTTAGAGAAAAGAAGTTCCCTTCATTAAAATAATCTTAATATTATCTTGGCTAATTTTCTAGACTCAAATATTTAACTTCTTTAAGCCTTATAATAAACTAACAGTGTCACTGATTCAGCCCCTTCTTTGGGTTCTGGAGTGGAGGTGGAGATTATGAAAACAATTTCTTTCCAGGTACAGCTTTAAAGCAAGACAAGTACAGTCTACAAATATAATTTGAATACCAAAGAGAAAAAAAGCTTTGTATCTTCTTACTCTAATGTCAAGAAATGTCTTCAAAGGCTAACATCACAACAATATTGATGGAGTAAGTAACAATAGGCAGTATTTAAAGCTAAACTGTTGTTTTAATGACAGTGAAATAAAGGGTCAAAACTAAATCATCATTAGAAGGAATATGTATACGTACAGTTCTATTATTTGTTACATATTAAGTTAGTATTTCTTTCATGATGGGTAAAATAAAGTAATGGGGAAATTTGAAAGTAATGTCCACAGAAGGAGAAAAGGAAAATGAAATTAAGTTGATGTTATACCCATAGCAGAGTATAAGGAGCCCAGGTGGCCTAGTCTGTCGGGAGTTGAGCCACTAAACCAAAGACTACTATTTTGTAATAGTCAAATTCACCAGCATCTGGGAAAATAATGGCCAAACTCTACCCATAAAATTTAGTCTCAGAAACCCAATGAAAGGTCAACTATGAGACAGCTCCAAATCAAAAGAGCACAATGAGTGAATGTGAGCTACAGCTGAAAAGACAAAACCTCTCAAACCTAGACAAAAATAATTCAGAACTTCACAATAACTACTATTGCTATATATCTTTAAGGTGAAGTTAACTCATAGCTGGCTGACCCTTCCAAGAGTTTTCAGAGGTACTACTCCAGAGGAAACGGTCCATCTTTCTCTCATGGAGTAGTAGGTCAATTTCAACTGCATCCCTTTGGGTTGGCAGCACAACCCCTTATTATGAGGCAACGAGAGCTAACAATAACTAGTTACCAAGGAATCCTTCATTTCCATTTCTTTTCTTCAAAGGATTATTATACAATTCTTTAAAAGAATTTAAGACAAACCAAAACATAGGAATAAATATGGGAAAATATCCATTAAAAACTAAACTAGCATGCATGATGTGATCACATCCTTCAACAAATATTTGGGTGTATAAAATGAAATTAACTCTATTCACTTTTGAAAAATTATAACTATCATGAGCTAACTAAAGAAGCCTAGTTTCAAAATTGCAATCACAGTTCCATGTAATTGTTGTTATGTGCCATCAAGTTGCTTACAACGCACAACGACCCTATGTACAACAGCTTTGAACCCTGCTCTATCCTAATCCAACTTCACTGTCTCTGACACACTTACTCCTATTACCCTAGTCAAATACCAAAAATATTTCTATCTCCAAGAGATTTCGTAAGTCTCTCCAGGAATCAGTAACATATAACATTATAAATTACTCAAGAATAATTACTTATGTATTAATAATCATATAATTATTTAAATATCTTAGTATATATATTAATTATATATTATATAACTAACTATATAATTCTATAGCTATATAGTGCACTGGTGGCCTAGTGGCAAGAAGCTAGGATGCAATCCTGAAGGCACATGGTTCAAATCCACCAGCTGCTCAATAGAAGACAGGCAATCTCCTCCTGTACAATTAACTGTCTCTGAAAACCTGCCCCATCTTATTAAGTGTCTTTGAAAACCCACCAGAGGGTGAGCTATGGGCTGGTTCCAATTCCAAAGTACACAACAACAAACAATATTAATTCTACTCTAGGGAGCACTGGTGACTTAGTGGCAAGAAGCTATGCTGCAATCTCAAAGGTACAGGGTTCGAAACCACCAGCTACTCAGCGGGAGAAGGATGGGTAATCTCCTCCTGTGCAATTAACTGCCTCTGAAAACCTGCCAGAGGGCCAGCTATGGGTTGGTTCTGACTCGATGATAGTCAACAACAAATATACTCTATTATACATTATTATTATAATCTCTAAGTATTCAATAAATGTCTTTCAGTCAAAAACTACACATTATAACCTTCAAAGTACAAAATTTAATTTTGAAAATTCATGTAAGTACTTGAGTGTTTTTTAACTGTTATTTCATACTGCAGTTTCATTATATACTACCTTGATCTATTTCATGTTCAATTATGTGATATTCTCAAGAAGAAATCTCCTGAGTGACAAAGCTTTCTCACAAAACAGAAATTACTTATATCTATAATAATTATACTCAATTACCAAAATCATAATGATCATCTGTTGTACATAAAGATTGGCTAGTACTAAAAACAATCATTCTCTGGTAGAAAAGTAAAAGAAAATAGAGAGAGATGGAGAATATTTATTTATTACCTACATACATGCATCCCTACTCAATGTGCCACAACACAAAATGGAGAAACCTAAAAACTTTCAAATCAGTTCCAACTCTGAATACTCGAAGGTATTCCATGAGGTTTTTTAGACAATAAATCTTTATAGAACATATGTCTTTCTCTTGTGGCTAGGCTAGTAGATCTCACCTTTCAGTTAGATGCCCGTCACAGTATACATTATGCTATCAGGGTTCCTTTAAAGTGGAGAAAGATGTGCTCGCTTCGGCAGCACATATACTAAAATTGGAACGATACAGAGAAGATCAGCAAGAAGTGTTCCATTAAAAAAAAATTTTAAAAAAAAAGTGGAGAAAGATCTAGATGATTTGATCAATCTTCAAATCTTTAATTTGAAAGACAGAACACTTGAAGAGTTTGCTGTATGATTAACATTAATTGGGGCCACTGCTCTAGATATTTCAAAAACCTTTGGTAGCTTTCTAGTCATACCACAAGTAGTTAATAAATGCATTCAAGCTCACACTTTAATATAAACAGGCCTTTAAAGTTACTGCTTAATTCTGTATCTGGACAGACAAGTCAATTATTTGCAATAAGGAAGACTCAGTATAGTGAAAAATGAAAGTCAGCTCTGAAATACAGAAAGGTACTTTAACAACATAAATTTACATTCCTATTTCTTTTCTCCTTAGGTAAGTAAACAGAATATTTAGTCCCAGGACCCATACATACTCATGGGAATAAGCACCTCAAAATGTTAGAAATGACTATATGATTGAATAATAGAATGTCTGCCATGTGATTGAAAATTTTCTGGATAATCACGTCACAAACAAACCACAGTACCATTTTTTGTCTTCTATTATTAGGTCTCCATTTTGACAGAACTGTAAGTAGCATCATAATATAACTTACTCAGGTGATGGGAGAGGAGTTGAAACAGGAGTTGATTCAGGTATTTTAGAATCAGCTGTGGCAGTGACATTCTCAGATACACTTTTATTGCCTATTTTAAGAAAGATGCCCATGTTGAGTTCAATTTTATAAAGGTGTACCATGAAAATATTTTACTACAATAAGTAATTTTAGTTTCTCAGGGGAAATGAAAAATGTTAAACAGCTTTTGTCAGTGTAGTTTTTTTCAATTTTAACTTATTCTTTAAAAAATGTGTAAGTCACAACTACAAGGACTGTATTTTTCTCAACTTCTCAGATATTTAAAATAAGTCAAATGACTGTAAATTTGTGTAACTTCACATGATTTGTACATGCATATAGACACCTGAAAATAATTAAAGAAAATGGAAAGAAATTTTTTGTTTGTACTTGAAACTACTAAGTATCTTTTTATTAAAAAAGAGCAAGATACTTTTTCATTTCTAATTATTGTATTTGCTATCTGTAAGGAAAATGGTTTTCTAAAATAAGTATTTGATATATAAACATAAAGTGCACTAAAGTACCATTTGGGCATTAAAGCCTCAGTGAAAAGATAGGGAAATAAATAATCTTCTACATGAAGACTAAAAGAAACAAATACATGCATTTCATACAATCAAGATGCTTTTCATTAAAAAAAGTAACAGAATAAGTGAGAACAGGTTAAGTACTCTGGAGTTCTTGATTTTTAAATGAAAAATCTAATTGTTTTGTTTATTGATTTTTCCTAACTTAAAAAAAAAACAAACAAAAAACAAAAAACCCACAACAACAAAAAACAAACCCTGGAGTTTCAATTATTTAAAGAGCCATAAAATTATTTGGTACCTTCTGTCACTTCTTCAGTTTTTGCTCCCAGAATATTAGCAGCAATATTCACCATATTTAGAATGGCATCTACAATAAAATTCAATCCATAAAAAAAAAATCCCACAACCACCTAAATATTCTCATATA